AAACTAAATTGCTTCAAGACAATAGTCTTTTTCTAAGATACAGAATACCAACATCATTTGATGAGGCATTATCAAGTGTCAAACTTAAAACACAATTCAGCCTTCACCTGTTCAAGCACTTGGCTATAGTCTTAGTAATAGTTTCTCTTGAATAGCTAGTGATTTGACAAAAAATTTAGAATCTTTTTTTGTAGCTTCCAGTTATTGTCAATAAAATGTCTAGTCAAGCATAGATAACTAAGATTCTTGGTCAAAATTGAGAAAACCCTTTGATAATTTTTAGAAAGAAATTTTTTCAATTTCCTCTTCTTTGTCTCTTATAACCCCAAAACATCACTTGTTAATGTACTGTGTGAAATGACATGAAATTTTAGTTATAAAATACTCAAAAACTTTTAAAATGATTCGTGTTCCACACATTGAAATGAAATCTTCATAGCTATAAACATCTTCACTAATTCTATTCGACACTTCTCTTAGTCAAATTTGTCAATTGAAAGAGAAGAAACATGTCTTTCTGCATTTGCCATTGATGATGAAATTAAATTGGAATTATTCTTACATTTCTTTGAATGAGCTAGCATAGAACTTGTTCCATTATCAAATTCATCAAGCAACTACAATAGTTGCATTTAGCTTTTTTATTTGACATAGGGTCTACAGTAAAGTGCTTCTATACTTTAGATTAATTTTTACGCCTATCAAATTAAGATTGTGATACATTAGCAGTGTTAGAAACTGATGGTAAAGTAGTCAAATGTTCTGCTATCTCAGAAGTTATAAAATCATCTTGATCATCCATTGTGTCTAATATTTTGCATTAAAAATCAAAATAAAAATATTTAAAAAATTGTCAAGGGTTAAACAAAATGACATGAAGTAGTTATCAATCAGTCACATTATAGGCAATAAGGGGATGGTACAACTAAACAACAAATGCAACTATATAATTATTACGTGTAGTTATAGGACAACTGAGTGTTTCTTTTTTTTTTTTTATGTAAGAAATTGAATGTAGCAACGTTATTGTCCATCTTCACTCTCGGTTGCCTACCTATACTTAGATTACCAAGTCATAGCCTCTTGATTGTCCACACTCATCCAAGGTGAAATAACTCAATAAAGTCTAAGCAATTATTTAATTCATTTCACACTACATTTAAGTTTAAGACTGCAATGGATAGCAGAAATTTAGAGGTTAGACTAGGACAATATTCATCAAGAAGGAAAATTTATAGAATTGTAACAATGCATAATTCTAGAATATTAATCATTCAAATTGAAATACTCATCTAATGGAGTCCAAGGCTGAACCAAGACTCAAACAATCAAACAATCATAATTATTTCAATAAATTTTGGGAACTAACAATGTTCTGTACTCATCCTAGTATGCCTAAAGCTAAATTGATGGGTTTAGCATCTAAGAGAAATATAAAGAGAGACAACTAAGTTGCTATCTATTAATCACGCCATTTTTCTACTTTCATAGTCAAAATTTTGTTATTTTAACATTTAATTTCCTTCTTACCTAAGCAATTTTAGAGTTCAAAACTAAGACTTAAGTATTGATTGACTATTCCATTTCCTCTCGGTTTCTGAGTGTAGATCCAAGGCTTATAATCAAGGTTACAAGGGCATCACCCTTCTTAGATTTAAATGTACAACTTACACTAACAATTGCATAATTTAAGACATTAGCATATATAACTTTGCTTTATTTTCATACGTAAGGGTTCTTGGTTCAGCTAAGGGTTTCAAACTATCATAGTGCAAAATTGCTTAAATCAAAAAAATTTCCTCTCAACATCATGTGATTATCGTCAAGGCAATAATATGTTACATTTCTACAATTTAAGAGTTATTCGAGACCACTAAAGTACTAATTATAACCAAAAAATGAAATCACTTAGATACGTGAAAGAAAACCAAGCATCTTATCTAAACATTGAAACTAGAAAGCAGCATTTAAAGATAATTGTCATGTGCTAGAAAGCGGCGTTCAAAATGGATCGATGAAGTATGGTGAAAACAGAAAAGCATCAAAATGAAAGTAGAATGAAATGAAATAAAGTGGTACTCAATCAAAATTGAGGAGGAAAAAAGTGTACCCGTGAGGTTGGGCAAGTGATTTCCCGTTGTTGCGATGCCAAATTACTGTGGTTTTTTCTCAAGAAAGAGATCCATGGTTTAGAAGAAGGAGAAGAATAAATCTGGTTTTCTCAAGTCAAATCCAATTTTGATGTATTAGAACCAATTCAGATCTAGATTTTTTCCTACAAACTGAGTTATCTAATTCCTTAAAAAATTTAGATTTTTAAATCTAGTTCGGCTTAGTTACGGATTGTGCTTTTATATTTAGATTTTTTGTGCATCCCTAATGTTAGGAATAAGGGGGTGAGGATTTTGTGATGAGTTATTTATTATTTCTTGTAGTTTAGCATAAAGAGATTACCAATGTATTATTGAAGATTTTTGTCACAATTACATGAAATTCTACAAAAAAAAACAGGGTTACGCGTAGCAGGAAACATGTCCTTACTTAATAGTCTCACTGAAAGTTCTTCGATGACATACATGGTCGTCCTTATGAGCATGTACAGTCGTACTTTATATTTGGTGATTCAAATTTAATTATTATTTTAGGGTTTTGAGAACCTTATTTAAGAAGCAAGTGATTTTTTTTTTTGTTGGATGACTCTTGTCAGATATTCATAATGTCACTAGTTGGATTACGTTTAAAGTGGTGATTTTAAACGTCTTTTGTATAAAAACACGCCTCAGTGTGAGTAAAAATCACGCATACAGAGTTAGAAATATTAAAAAATCCAGATGGCAGATATTTTTCTGATCTGAATGAACGATATCATTTTTTATTATTTCGATTTTATAAGAATGAAAATAAAGTACCATATTATGGTTGAAAAATAGTACCGTATTTCAACCGCAATTGACTGATGGAACATTTGAATAATCAGTCAATATTATTGTTATTTGAAGCATTACGTTTGTGGGTGAAAGATTTGAAAAGAAACACGAAACGTGGCTAGTTTAAGAAAATTTGATGGAAAGAACAATTAAAAGTTTTTTTTTTTTTACATTTTATTGATTACCCATTTTCATTATATTATATATGCTTTTACTTTTATTTTTTATACAATTCATTGAGATTAAGGAGTGATTTTGCCCGGATTTGCATTAATTACTTTGTACCAATGACATTTGTTTGTTTTTGGATTTTGAAAATCTTAAAAAAAAAAATTTCTCTTTAAAAATTGCTAACATGTACATTTGTAACTGAAATACGTTTAACATTTAATTTTGTATTATTTTTACATTTATGTATTATAGTTTAGTTTTCATATTTCTATATACGAGTATAATAAAAGTAAAAAAAATACAATTTATTGTTCTATTCTTATTTCCTACGTATAATTTTAAAAGAAAGTTAGCCTATTAAAAGATAATTACACAATATGTATAATAGCAGGTTGATTTAAATATAATATAGAAAACAAATTAAATTGATATTTTGTTATTCAATTTAAATATATTTTTAACTAATTATTTTTAAATATTTATTTATTTTTATGTGACTTTTAATTTAATTTTTATTTAGATTAAAAGGTAACTAAAAAATTAAGTGATTTTCTGAGAAAATAAAAAATAAAAGACAAAAAAAATTAATTAAACTGGAAAATTATTAAAGCGCGATGAATTTACTTATTAAAAATAATAATAATTCAATCTAGTTCAAGTGTTGTATCATATATTTATATATTATTATAATAAAATTAAAGAAAAAAAATATAAATATATTACAGTGTAGTCTTGTTCAATTTAATTCAAGTTTAATAGTAAGATCCAATATTTAAACAAAATCATAATATGAATACAATTTTAAAAATATTTAATTTGATCAAGTTTCAGTTTTTCATATCAATTTTACAATTTAAAATTAATTTATTTTAAAGACCCTCTAAACTAAACATAAATAGAATATAAATCCTAACTATAAGAATACTCCAACTCCTATGTAGGGATTCAGTTGTGATGAAAATTAAACGTTTCATTCTATTTTTTTAAACAAAAATACAAAAAATTATTCTAATATTTTAATACATTTTCCCGTCACAGTAGAAGAGATTTGAATCTTTTACTTAATAATAATATTTTATCTCGTAACTAACTTAATATTTAAATAGATGTTTGATTTTAAAACTCATGATTTAGGGTTTAGTATAAATTTATATTTATTTCAATATTATTAATTATATTTTTTACACTAAAAGTATATTTATCGATTTATCACGGTAATTCCAAACACATACATATCCTTATAAAGCGACGTAAAAAGAATAGGGAATAGATTTTGGGATTCATATACGGATGGACACTAGGCACTTCAGGAATGTGATTTAATGTTCAGACGAAAGAACGCAAACACGTGTAAGCTACAGAGTCAATGACACCTCATCAGAATTTTATTCAGCTTTGAAAATAACTGGATGAACTTTTGAATAAGGAGATGATTTAAGAAATTGTAAATGGATCAGTCTTAATTAATGGAACCAGACCAATCTTGTGTGGATACCTCTTGTTCATTGAAAAAAACAAACTTTTAATGTTAATTAATACATGTAACTCTTTATAATCTGTTTAGTACCGTATTTAAGAGCATCGTATATGCTTTAAAACCGTAAAAACAAAACTAGTCTTAGGATCGTGTATGAAAAAGAACGAATCTAATAATAAAAGACATAAATCCAAACATACGCTTAACACTTACGTGAATTTGAAAATGGGTTGGTTGATAGAATGGACTTGTGGAAAAATTTGTGGAATAGGTACACGTAGCTTGCCCTTGCAGCTGAAAGGAAATGGTATGGAATTCACGCAATGGACCCCGGAGAGCTTGACGGGACCAAACAAAGTCTCTGCCGTGTGGGTAGTGAGTAATCTTTATGCCTATATATAGTTTCTTAAGAAGGACCAAAAGATATCACTTCTAAGTTCTAAGAGTTTATTTATAATATTTTGATGCAGCAAGAATGGTAAATATACTGTTCTCCAGAGGCTACACCACCATGTCTGTCATATTGCTGCTTATTGGAATGTTAGCGTTCACTGAAGTAGAATTAACGGGTATTTTATTACACTTATTTTCCTGTTATTTTACCATGAGTCCTTGTGAATCGAAAATTCATACGAGAATCTCCAGGTCGACCACACTCCTAAAATCGGATAGATTACTCTTCACTTTTCCATTTTATTTCTCTCTTAACTTCAATTCTTGGTATCGTGAATGATTATTTACTATCATTAGTAAATTTCTATTTGATTATATGTTGTGTTTGTCAAACCCCTTATATATTAATAAGAGAATAGAGATTGATTTATCTGATAGATTCGGATAGGATAAAAGCCAGAGTTTATTCTTTTTAATGTATGGCTCTTCTTTTTTGAGTATTAATGTAACTTCTCATGGAGACTTTACTGCATGCTTTAATAATGATTGACTCGGTCAAAATTGTAAATAAGATATTAAACAACAATAAGTTAAAACCTTTTCTTCTATTTAACAAATTCAATCTCACACAGTCAATTTTGAATTTCTCTCTAAAGTGCTTACTTGTGCTTCAATATGATGCAGCTGCACAAACCTTGGGTGCTTGTTATGGGGCAAATGGAAACAATCTCCCACCACCACAAGAAGTAGTGGATTTATACAAATCAAACGGCATTGGAAGAATGCGGATATACGATCCAAATGAAGGTGCCCTTCAAGCCCTTAGAGGTTCAAACATTGAGGTGATCCTTGGTGTCCCTAATGACAAACTTCAATCTCTCACCGATGCTGGAGCTGCCACAGATTGGGTCAATACAAATGTCAAAGCTTATTCAGCTGATGTCAAATTTAAGTACATTGCAGTTGGTAACGAAGTTGAACCAAGTGACACTAGAGCGAACTATGTTCTTCCCGTTATGCAAAACATTCAAAATGCAATTTCCTCAGCCAACTTACAAGGCCAAATCAAGGTCTCCACGGCAATAAAAACTAGTCTTGTAGCCAACCCTTACCCACCCAATAATGGGGTTTTCAGTGATAGTGCAATTCAATATATAAAGCCTATAGTTGATTTCCTAGCGAGTAACGGGGCACCACTTCTTGCAAATGTGTACCCTTACTTCTCCTATGTTGATGATCATCAACAACACATAAGTCTTGAATATGCATTGTTTACTCAACAAGGAACAAACGAGGTTGGGTATCAAAACCTGTTTGATGCGTTGTTGGATTCTCTCTATGCTGCTCTTGAAAAGGCAGGGGCATCCAATGTGAATGTTGTTGTATCTGAGAGTGGGTGGCCATCTGATGGTGAGGTTGCAGCCACAATTGAGAATGCTGGAACTTACTATAAGAATTTGATTAATCACGTCAAGGGTGGGACTCCAAAGAGGCCAAATTGGCCCATAGAGACTTACCTTTTTGCTATGTTTGATGAAAATCGTAAGGATGATCCAGAAACTGAGAGACACTTCGGCCTTTTTAGACCTGACAAATCTCCTAAGTACCAACTCACTTTCAATTGAACATGCGTTACTTTGTTCTCACTTAGAATAAGGGTACCTCTTCCCCATGAATTTACCGGAATGTAACATGTACTAATTGATGCTTCCGACAAATAATTATCTACAACTTATCAAAATCTCAAAAAATAACAAATCATTTTGTCCCTAAATTAGATTTTTACGTGTTTCAATCATTTTTTTTTTAATTCGTGCGACGGGATGTTCATATCATCAAAAGAAAAACAGAGAGATTAGATATACATATAGTAAATTCATACCCAAGGAGATAGATAAGTCAGAGCAATTTTTAAGAAAAATGACAACCCAACTTTTCTTTTCTTTTTTGTTTTGCAATTACTTGTTTTATTATTCTTATGCTTTAAATTAGATTTTTTTTTTTTGTGAAGAAATTTTCTTACAAATAACGGACCACGACCAGCATTAATCAAAGTCTATAACATTCTTGAGATGACAATTTTCAATGTGTCTCAAACCCTCTTAGGGTTTTTCCTTTTTTGGCCTGAGGAGCTTCAGCCAGGATTTAATCAAAATGTTTAAAACCATCATAATTAATTTACTCAACAAAAAAAGTTACTCAACTTGTTTGTTTCGCTTGAAGGCCCGCGTCTATTTGTAGTTTTGTAGTCTAAAATTTAAAACCGGGCTCAAGGCTAAAAAGAATGGTGCTTCTGCATTTAGAACGCAACTGTGAAGAGCGAGGTTTGTTTCTGCAGTACTTGTGGAGTCGATCGTAATTATGATTGATTAAAGATCTAAACATAAAAACACCGAAAAAATTATCAATGATTAAAAAATATATATAAGAATTGATGAATAGCCAGTCAAATCAGTTCAAGATGGATATTTCAGCTCAACAAATATTACTTCATCTGAATAATTAAAATTATCAATGATTAATATCAAACTGCAACGTTGATTTTAATTAAAGAGCACATCATTATTGTCATAAACATTATATCAAAATTTTAGCTGCATAATTGGTTTTTTTATATCTTATTTTTAATTTAATTAAAAAATTAACCAAAGAGAGGAAATGTCAAATTACAAAAGCTAATGTATGATTATTGATATGCAATATTTTATTATCAATTTTTATCTTATAAAACATAAAATATGATATTTTTACGATCATATATAATTTATTAATATTTCATATGGAAATATTTTATATAAGCTCAAATATATTGATAATAAAAAGTATTGGATATGTTAAAAAATAATATATGAGAATAATATCGGACACCAAGTTACACACTAACACAGTCTAGTATTAGAAGTCACTCACAAAGACACAAAACAAAACAAATATGTTAATCTAGCAATTATAGAAACAACAATTTTCAACTTTCCATTGGTTCTAAGCTTAAAAAATAAATGAAAATACCGATGTAGGCGAATGTGCAACTATAATTTGTTAAGTCTTGAGTTTAATATGCTCCAATATCAATGCTGAATTCGCAATTAACTATTCAAAAATAATGTTGTTTCACATCTTCCATATACTCCAAACTGTTGTGGACCAAATGATCCACATGGCTTTCCGCCTCTTTTTCTTAGATATCATAAAGCATGACTAGTAATAGATGTTGGCAGCGATACCTGAACATCTAACGTGCTCAAAATAGCTACCCAAATTTGTTTTGTGAAGGGGCAAAGAAGAAATAGATGTTTTGCATTTTCAGAATGATTTCCACACAACACACAAGTATCGTCTTCAAGTTGTCTCACCCCGCATCTTATTAGATTTACTTTTGATGCAAATAAATCCAAGATCACTTGCCATGAGAAGATTTGAAACTTATGTGGGGACCATGACTTCCACATTTTTGACAGCGCCTGTAATTCCATATCACATAAGAAGGTCTCCACTATCATACTAGACTAAAGTACTTTATACTCTACTTTAATAGAGTAACCATTTAAAGAATCCTTCAACCATATTCAATGATCAATTCGATGTTGTATAGGTTGAATCCCCTACAAAATAGACAAAAGGTTAGAGTAAAATTTCCTTTTCCATTAGGCCCCTCCTCCAACTAATACTCCATATCCACCTCCCACTAACCCACTCTCCATATTATGCTACTTTGGCTTCCTTATCTGTACAAATTGAGTACAACCTTAGGAATAAAGAGGCTAGGCACTCTGTTCCAAGCCACACATCAGTCCAGAAGAACATATCAACACCATTTCTTAAGACTTTTTTATATTCCTATGAAACCATTGGTTCTTTAGCCTCCCCACCCTTCTCACATCTTTCTACCATAAAGAGACATTATTAGGCAGCATATTTGAATTTGGTAATGCATACGAAGGACCATATCTTTCAGCTAGTAACTTCTTCTAAATATCATTTTTGGACATCAAAGCTCTCCAATGCCATTTGCTCAATAAGGATCAATTGAACCTTTCAACGTGTTTTACACCAAGGCCTCCTACTTTCTTGCTTTTGTACATCATATCCCATTTCACCCATGGTATTTTATGGACGTTCTTCACGCCTCCTCAAAGGAAGTTCCTTTGGATTTTAATCACCTCTCTAAACACCTTTTTTGCCATCTTGTAGAAAGAGAGATAATGTATCGAAACACTATTAAGCACTGAATTAGCAATGTCACGCGCCCTCTAATAGATATAAATCTATTTTTCTAGCATCTTAACCTCATTTTCAAAGCTTCAAGTATAGGTTTCAGTGCGTTCATATTGCACGAACTTGCTCCAACCGGAATCCCTAAGAAACGAAATGATACCGAACCTTTTTTACAATGGAGAAACTTAGATGCTTGGGTTAGGAATTCCTCATCCACATTAATCCCAATAATGCTATTCTTATGGAAGTTCACTTTCAATCTGGATACTAATTTGAAGCTCCTTAACACGGCTTTAATACCCCATAGGTTTTGTGAAGAAGCTTCGCCAATAATTATTATATCGTCTGCAAATTGAAAATGCAAAACAAAACTTCATTCTTCACTGGAAAACCAGTAAACACCTTCTCCAAACCGCTTTCTTCATAAGCCCTCCCAACCCCTCTGCCACCAATCCAAAAAGAAGCAGTGTCAATGGATCTCCTTGCTTCAACACCATCTCAATTTTCACCTATTTAGTTGCACTTCCATTGACAAGAATTGAAAGGAAGTCTCCACAAACACATGACTCCAACCACTTGCACCATTTATCATTAAAACTGAATCTCTTAAGCATGTAAAGAAGGTATGACCATTTCAAGAAGTCATATGCTTTTTCATAATCCACTTTTAAGATAAAGCATGACTTTTTCGATCTCTTTGCATAATCAAAGCTCTCGTTCAAGGCAACAACTTTGTCTAGCATTTGCCACTGTGGTATAAACGCTGTTTGGTGCTCCTCAACCACACTATTCAACACCTTTTTACATATTTCTACAAGAACTTTTGATAAGATTTTGTACAGACATCCTACCAAGGAAATAGGTCTAAAATCTGACACAAGTTAAGGACACCGTCCTTTAGGAATGAGACAAACAAAATATAAGTGCAATGCTTTTGGGAGAGAAACATTAAGATGAAAGTCAGTTGTCGTTCCAAAAACCTCTTGCTTTATAAGAGCCCAAAATCTTTTGATAAAAGTAAAATTGAACCCGTCAGGTCTAGGAATTTTATCTCCAACACATGAAAAGATTACATCTTCAACTTCGTCATTACCAAAATGGGCTATTAAATGCAAATTTTGTTCAGCAGATATAGTGGGACAAGAAGCCCCATCTAACAAGGGTCTTCTCTATCTTCTTATGACAAAATGTTGAAGGAAATAGGCATGGGTATATTTTGAGATACAAATCCTTTCCCGTTGTAGAGAGAATTGGACATTTAGTTCCATTAGCAAAAATGAGAAAAACAATAAAAATTGTTTTATGCAAAAATTTTGCATCTTCTTCGTTAACTCTTGATGTTAAAGAGAATTTGAAAGTGCATTTCAATAATCTACCAAAAGTGGTACATATGTTCTACTCAAAATAGCTACTTAGGGAGGCTTTATATAACAAATCAACTAACACTGTAATAACTATCAACGGACATATTCATAGTTATAACTAACTCTCTAATAGTAATAATTGCTAACAAACAAAACTATTAGCTATCTTCATATCCCCCTTCAAGTTAGATGGTGGAGGTCCTTTAGTCTCAACTTGTTGATGAAAGCCTTGAAGGAAGTGGAGTGAAGTGGTTTTGTAAAGGATCTACCAATTGGTCATTAGAGGGAACAAAGAGCAAATGAACCAGTCCTTTCTTAATCTTTCCTCAAACAATGTGGCAATCTATCTCTATATATTTGGTCCTCTAATGAAAGACAAGATTATGGGCCAAATATATAGCAGATTTGTTGTCAGAGTAAATGGAAGCAGGTTGTTTGATATTTTGATATGATAATATGGCTGTTGGAACCGTCGAATAAAACTGTAGTTTTAATTTTTATTCTATTGTTATTAAAAATAAACGTCATGTTGACTATGAGGATAAATTTGTTTCGATCCTTTCTTTTAGGAATGGTTTGTTATAGTTTCTATCTATCAACAAACTCTATTTTAGATTTGTTTTATAAATAGTTGTTATGCATCTGAATAAAATAAGCCTTCAGAAGTTACATGTCTCCATTTGTCTTCTTTCACCCTTTAGATCAATAAACTAAAAAAAAAAACAAATTGGTATCAGAGCTCTTATCTTTGAGGGATTTTTGAGTTGAAAGAAACACTAATGAAGGGAGAATCACAATACACAGCAGATCTATCACTAATCTTTGATGATGAGGAATATGAGTTATGGGCTGCAAAAATGATCAGTCATCTTGAGCATTGGATCTTTGGGAGTTAGTAGACAAAAATTATGATGTTCCTGAATTATCTAAGAATCCAACGTGGCTCAAATGAGGTATCACAAGGATAAGAAGACAAAAAAGGCTAAAGCCAAAAATTGCCTTTTTTCTACTGTGTCAAAAATTAGTTTTACAAGAATTATGAACTTCAAGTCTGCCAAAGAGATTTGAAATTATCTCAAATATGAATATCAAGGATATGAAAGAACTAAAGGCATGCAAGTTCTCAACTTGGGTAGAGAATTTGAGATGCAAAATATGAAGAAGATAGAAACAATTAAAGGCTATGTTGACC